ATACCCTTATCAAACTGTTTTATGACTCACGGAGAACTCAAGTTGTATACTAGAGCTGGAGAAACTGTTTTACTGCTGAATATTTATTCCCTTTAATAAAGCTTTTTTCACTTTCTATCCTGAAAACTGTACATGAATTGTAAGGGTATTTTACACCTGATTTTTGAGCTTTTTCATGACATTCTTGTAAGAAGCTTGTTTGTATTAGGAATAGGAAACAAAGCAGAGATGTCTGAAGTCACTCCGTGAATGTGATAGAGGTAAGATTAGACACCAATGCTCCCGTCTTCTAGCTACAGTGCCTTTTTAAAAATATAACATAAACCAAAATTAAAGTATATGTATTTGTTGCTCCACCAATAGCTTTATATTGCACAGGGAAGCTTTATAACCCACAGTGAAAATAAATGTAGTAGATCATATTTCTTATACTACTTTTTTTTTCAAACTGCATCCAGCTTTATTAAAGGTACTTTTCATAAACAATCATTGTATTTCAGACAGGATATGGGCAGACAATCATTAACAACATACAACTTTCAAACTCCCTTCTTCAATGAACTACCAAAATCAGAAAGCCACCATGAAACCCAGTGAAGTCTCCATCTGATGCTCTGAATAGGGAAAGTTTAGAGTGAGGGTTGCCATTTCACATTGAGCATGTTGTGTAACAACTTTTCACAAGCTGACCCTAACTTTCAGGAAATGAAATTAAAATGGCAGAGAACATCAATCTGTAGATCCACAATCTAAAAAGGAACTGCTGCTCTTTTGAGGGAGGCCATCTCAGTGGTGACACTGGAAAGTTCAGATTGCCCAACTGACTGGAAATCAACGTTTTTGGGTCAGATCCCAATAGGTCTTTGGGCTTAAGAGAGCCAAAGTCTATGCTAAATTGGAGAGGGAGAAAAGGACAGAAAAACGAATTTTAGTTTCCCACACAACAAGGTGTTTGTGCCAAGATGGCTAATGTGTGACAACATCAAGAGATTCTCCTCCCAGGAACCAAAAGGAAGTTTCTCAAAACTAGAAGGGAAAGGTCTTTCCCCCCATGTCAGTCCAGCTTTGGAGACATTCTAGTAGTACTATATGTCCTTCCCCCAAAATAACAATGAAGTGTTCTGTGTGCTGACAACATAGCTTAAAAAAGAAAAGTAAAACAAAATTCTGCATTTTTATAAAACTTGATAAAAAATAGTATTTCAAACTGTACAGTCACCAGAAATACACAGCTATCAAAAATGCACACACTTCACTTGGCACCTCCAGCATCTTCAGCTTTCTGTGCCTGGCCTGCTTTGGCATCTCCATTCTCTGCAGGGCTATTCCCATCTTTGCCAGCATCAGCTTTCCCTTTTCCCTTTCTGTACCTTCTCTCTCTTCTTTGCAGGGGCCTTTTTCGGCTTGGGCTCTGGCTTTGGAGGAGCAGGTTTAGCTGATAATCTGGTGAATCTTCTCGGTGGTTTGTCCTTCACTTTGGCTTTATCTCCTTTAGCATCCCCTTCTGCCTTTCTCTTGGGCATGATGGTGATGGTGGTGGGATGTCAGAGCAGGACATGGGGGATGCAGCAGCGCAGTGTCTTTGCGGGGTCCGGGGGTCGATCTCTCTTTCTCATACTGCTCTGATTCTTATACCACTTTTAAATGATGCTACCACTTCAAAATAAATAAATAAAGTCATTTCCCTTTAAAATATGAGTGCATAGTGATTCTCTATGTGTATGTTAAAACAGAGAACATCAAGCATTAAGAAAAAGCACTTCTATAACAATAGGCTTTGCAATTACTGAAGTGCTGATTAAGATAAGACTAGACTAGTCTATTTTGAGATGAAAAGCTTCATGAACAAAAGAGGAAAGTGCTAAAAATTATACTCAGACAAGATAGTTTTAAAAGAACCTGATGAAAAAAAAAAAACGACAAGCATTTTATATGAAGTCAAAGCTCGAAATTCTTATAATTAATTAGATGATTTTTAAATACTTTGACACATTTTTAAATGGTAGAAGTATGCATTAATTTAGTAAAAATATCTCTAAATCAGGGAGTATTAATTTGGTATTTGTGGTTATTTATGCAGTGCCTGAAATTACGTTGACTTGTGAAAAATAAATTTTCTAAGTAAATAAACAGTGTTAATAATTTATCTAAGTAAGAGAATTAGTCATTTTCCAAGCAAATTATAAGCACTTAGTCATAAGCAACATAAAATGTAGGAGGAAATTCCAAAAAGTATGCATTTTCATTCCTGTGGCTTAAAATGCATATATTAAAACTTGCACAAGAACTCTCAAGATCAACCGAAGGACTTGTATGCATGCATATGAGCATAACCAATGGACATAAGACACTGCGGGGTAGGGGAAGCCGGGGTATTGTCAAGGGTGGGGAAAAAAAAGGACACATATGTAATAACCTTTGTAATACTTTAAGCAATAAAAAATAAATAAATTTAAAAAAAGAAAAAAAAGAACTCTCAAAAAGATCCCTAAAAAGTAAAACTAATTTACCTAGAAAGTAAAATTAACCTGTCTAATTTCTAAGTCAAATTATGTGTATATAAAATACATACTAATGTATCTGTAATGGCTCAGTGTATAGAGTGTGGGCCTGCGGACTGAAGAGTCCTGGGTTTGATTGCAGTTAAGGGCACAGCATGGGTTGCGGGCTCAACCCCCAGTAGGAGGCATGCAGGAGGCAACCAATCAATGATTCTCTCTCATCTTTTATGTTTCTATCTCTCTCTTCCTCTTCCTTCCTTTCTGAAATGAATAAAAATATATATATTTTTTTAAAGAGGCTGATTCCAAAAGTCCTCCATGAAAACCAATGCAATTAGTTGCTGTACCACTCTGTGTACAGTTGTATAGTTATAAATGTAAACTGCTAAATTTAATTATATAGTTTGGAATAGTAAAAACATTTTTTAAATACCTGCATTTTGCTTTTCCTCTTTAGTGAAGATGATGTCTGCAAAAGTAATGATTGTTAAAGTAATGATCATCATGTTTGCAATTTGTGTTTTTGCAAAATCAGATGGGAAACCCATGAAGTAAGTACCGTTTCTTGTTCTGCATGGCTAGGACTTGGGGATTGGACTTTTAGGGCTGGCTTTATGATGGGAAGAGGAGGGCTGATGGAGTGGCTTCTCTGTTTCTGTTCCTTACAGAAGGAAAACTGTGGGTGAAATAGAGCTTCTGTATAAGCTGCGTAAACATCTGCAAAAGTTGGAAAAGCAGGAGTGGCTACGGAAGTTGCTGCAGGAAGTGATCCTCGGAGAGTCTACAGTTCGTAGGGATGTTTCCAGGAGGTCCCTAAGAAAGGAAGACAATGTCCTGGTTGAGAGCCATCAAAAAAGCCTTGCAGAAGCAGACAAAGCTGATGCGGACGTATTAACTAAGGCTAAATCCCAGTGAAAACACATCTATCAGAGCACTGCTCCAGACAGCCTAGGGCAACAATATTACATGCAGCTAATGGTTCCACCATCTATTATGATGACCAAGTACCAATATTTCTAATATTACCAAACTTTACATGTAATCCATTGCTAACCATGATAGCTATAATTTAATTGATTATTTTGATTTTATTTTTATAAAAGAGTCTTTTAATTATTCTATTTCTGTGCCAGCTGGGCTGTTTATTCTTTTTAAAGTATGTTATTGCATAATTTATAAAAGAATAAAATTGCAGTCTTTAACCTCTCTCTCACCTTACAATGCAAAATAAAAAATTAATGATCATGATTCTAAAAAGGTGACGTTAAGTAATTTTCAATTGTTATAAGAATATCGTTTTGGTTATAAGTAATACCAACATATTTAAATGGATCAGGACTAGGAAGAACAACATAAAATGGTTTTATTGAAAAATAATGGACATACATCACTATATAAGTTAAAGGTGTACAACATGATGGTTTGATTTACATACACTGAGTGGCCAGATTATTATGACCACCCCATCAGTACTTCATTGACACTTCCAAAAATAATGAATATTGAAAACTTCCTAAGCAAATACTCTCAAGGTTTTATTATTATTACTAGAGGCCTAGTTCATGAAATTCATGCATGGGAGGGGGGTCCCTCAGCCCAGCCTGCACCATCTCCAATCTGGGACTGTTGGCTCCTAACCGCTCACTTGCCTGTCTGCCTGCCTGATCACCCCTAACCCTTCTGCCTGCCTGCCAGATGCCCCAAACTGCTCCCCTGCTTGCCTGCCTGATCACCCCTAACTGCTCCCTTGCCTGCCTGATCACCCCTAACTGCTCCCTTGCCTGCCTGAGCACCCCTTACTGCTCCCCTGACAGCCTGATCACTCCTAACTGCTCTCCCCTACCGGCCTGATCACCCCTAACTGCTTCCCTGCCGGCCTGATTGCCCCTAACCGCCTCTGCCTTGGCCCCCGCCACTGTGGCTTTGTCTAGAAGAAGTCTGGTCTAATTAGCATATTACCCTTTTATTAGTATAGATTATTTGCATAACTAATTCACTTCATTGTACTGATGGGGTGGTCATAATAATCTGGCCGGTCATAATAATCTGGCCACTCAGTGTAAATTATGAAATGATTATGTGTTGAACATCATCCTTTTAGTAATATTATCAAAGTACCAGGTCCCCAAATCTTAGAAGCAAGATACTATTGTCCTCTTCATTTCAGGAAAGATAATGAAATAGTCAGAAAAGGAGAAAGTGATCTCAAACTTGAATGCAAAAGCATTTGCCTATACACAAACCTACTTATCATATTTCTAGTCTGACCCCAAATCATGGACTAGAGTTTT